CCACCCACCCACCCAATTCATGCTGACCGTGGCCGCGTCTCGCTGTTGCTCGAACGGAGCAGGACCCTGTGAGTGTGGCGGCGGCGACAGATAATGCGACCGATGTGGGGAAAGGCAGGATCCCGCCGGGCTTTGGATCTGTGCCGTTCTCTGGATTGCTCTGGAGGATGTGTTCCTCTTTCTCTCTCTCTCTCTCTCCCCCCCCCCTGGACTCGGGACACTTGGCAAACCAGAGAAGGCGACTCTAAAAATGCCAGAGCGTCTTGTGGCACCTAACACGTTATGCCCGGCACAAGCTTTCAGGCGCTGCAGCCCACGTCCTCGGACGCAGGAAGAAGCCCCTCTGATATAAGAGCGATAAATGGGATTCAGCCCACAACAGCTGAGGCCGAAGGAAACCCGACCGTCTTTAAAAGGTACCACAGTAACTCTTCCCTTGTGTTCTGCTGGAAAGAACAGCAACAAAAAACACCACCCCTTCAAAACGAAAGCAAAAGCATCAAAGTACAAGAAGGCGTGTTCAGACGATACCCAGGTCCTGCCTCCTGCTCCCACGGTGCCCAAGCAAAGGCGACCGTGGGAAGGCCACGGGAGTGACTTGAGAGGAGGAGCAGCACCCTTCTGGCCGCCTTCCGGCCCGCTGCGCCTGCTGATTTCTGCCCTCACGTCCTCCTTCCGTGGTGGGGGTCCCGCTGCATCTTTCCTCCCAGGGAGACAAGGTGGCCCTTGGGCAGGGAGAGGGACGTGGAAAGGAATAGGGTTGCCGTCCTGGCTAGCGGCTTCCGATAGCCTTTCCCCCCCCCATCCGTGGGCCAATCTTCCTTTCAGGTCCACCCAGCTGAAGGCCAGGCCTCTTGTCTCCACGGCGATGTCCCCCAAAAGGTCGCCAGAGGCTTGATCAAGCAGCTCCTCCTGGCCTGCCCATCCGCCCAGCAAATAAAAAGAGCCTAGCCCGGTCCCAGGGCCCGGGGGCGGGGGGGGCGCTTCAGCATCCTTCTGGAATAGTCCTTCCAGGGCAGGGAAGAGGAGCCATCCCACTTTCTGCCAGTCCAGGACCATAGGGGGAAACTGCATGGATGAGAGTCTACCTGAGCATGTTTTGAGTGCACTGCTATGATGTGCCGTCCAGTTGCTCCCGACTTAGGGTGATCCTCACGTGGGATTTTGTGGCGTCACAGGGATGATGAACAGAGTGGTCTTCCTAGTGCCAAGCCCTCCCCCAAATTAGTTTTCATGGCCCTGGGGAAATCCGAACCCGTGTCTCTCAAGTCCTCGTTTGTCACTCTTATCCACTGCACCTCACTGGCTCTCTACCAGTGTGAGCGCGGCCTGAGTTGCTGCCGTTTGTTCTGGCAAAAACCTTCTCGGCTTGTAAGTAATCCTTTGGTCTGGATGGGGTTGCAAGACATTAAGGGTGTGGGGTCGAAAATGTCGCTGCTCAGGTGATGACCCACCCCCACCCCACAGGTGACAGAGAAACCCTAGGAATCGCGGAATGACACTTTCCAGCTTATGCCGAGAGGGGGAGGCCCACGACAGAAAGACACCCCCGAACCCTTCTGCGAAAGCCCCTGCCGGAGGCGTGCGGATCCTGCAGGAAGCACTCGGGAAGCGAACAAGGCCTTAATTGTCTGTCTCTCCCCGTCCCCTCTCTCTCGCCCGCTCTGGCGCTCGCCTTTGCAAGCTAAGAATAAATTTTATTAGTGCCGATTCCGGTAAATGCGCTGAAGCTGACGTGAATCAAGCCACAGCGTGGCCGGCGCCGGCCGGCGGTCCTGCACGCTGGGCCTGAGGGAATCACGCGAAGGCTCAGGTGGGGGCCACAGGTTGTGTGCCCCAGCCAAAGCGCCCCCCCCATTTCTCAAGAACCTTCTCCAAACATTATTAGCGGAACATTGGGGGGGGGGAATCAGCAACGGCTGTGGGAAGAGATAAGTTATCGGGGGAAAGATGTTTGGGGTAAACAGCGGTCTGCCCTTTGCCCGTCCTTCGTTCA